GCCGTGTCGTGGAAGGGGGACAGCTGCTTCCAGCAGGTGCGCACCGCGCAGGACCCCGAAACCCCGTGGCACTTGCAGGTGGTCTTCAGGCCGCTCTTCACCGCCTGGTGCAGAGAGAGAGAGAGAGCGGGGGGTCAGGCCACGGTGCCCGGAGCACGAGCCGCTGAGCTCGCAATTGACTGCTGCCCTTGAGGCGTATCCCCAACCAAAAACTGGAATCGCTAACTACACCCACGAACCCCACTGCCGATGGCTTGACACTGTTACAGCTAGCTGACCTGTAGCTGGTGTGTGGGGAGCGGACTGGTGCGCTCCGGCTGCCGACACATCATCCAGGTGGGGGTACATTGGTGGCGGCAGTGGGATTCCCCATTGCCTGTACGGCACTTTGAGTGGGGTGTCCAGGAAAGAGCTATGTAAGTGGAAGGATGTGTTATTTATTTTGACCAATCAGTTCAGACTCCAGGAGGAGGTCTTTGAGAGATATTGGAAGAGGTGGATTATTTTTACTACCCAATAATAATTCTGAATTTATGCGTCTTGAATTTCGTGCTCTTTTTCCTCTTCCCTCCTTTCTCCCTAGCACGTCACCTACCCCTTCACCTAACTGGCCACTTTATTTTTGATCATTTTTCTATTTTACAACAAGAGCTGTGGCTGCTGTGCTTCAGTGGAAGAATCGGATCTGTGGACAGTTAACTGCAACGGCATGGCTGGTTTATTTATAAAAATAGGCGCAAAACACCTAAATGACCAATTTCAGTGAATAACGTGGCATTTGCTGTTGTCAGAAAATTTATCAGCACGGATTTCAAGAGGCAAAATAGGAGGTCGGTTGCAAAACAAACATTAACATCCGTCTCGAGTCTCTGATTGCAGTTTTTGGGGGGATTTATGCAAAATGTTACACTGAGCTCCAAGTAAATGAGATAAAAACACTCAGATAAATCAGGCTTTAGAAATCATTCTGTAACCCAGTTATTATTTTTGGCTGTTTGGGAGTGTGCACTGTATATGTCACACTTCCAGGCAAAGATTCAGAAAGGTGATCCTCCGAAATTTAATTGTAAAATTAATTAACCTAAAAAGTAATAAAATCAGTGTATAAATTTAAGTTACAGTCAGAAGGATGTGTTACCGTTGTCTAGTGGTGAAAAGGCAGGAGAGAATCAGGAAGGGCTGCTTGAAAACCGAGACGCTTAAGAGAAACGCTTCTTCTGGGAAGCATCAGCCAGTCGTTGATTAAAGGCTTTGCGAGACTGGTTGTTGTTGTTTTTTAATTCCGAAACATACTGCAGGAGCAGGAACGGCCAGAACGAATCTGGCAACAGGCGCAGATGGGTCACGTGAGGCGGCGCGGGTCCCCGGGGGGGCTCCTTATTCATGGCGGCGCTAATCAGAGTTTAAAATGCGGGGAGGAATAGCTATGGAGCGGTCAGCTAGAAAAGAAAAAAAGCACCGGGGAAGGCAGAGGACAGGGAGAGGTCAGGTCTCCCAGCGGCAGGAACGGCCCTGAACTGAAGAGTGTTAGAGGTCAGCTCCATTCCACACCGTGCAGGTATGAGCCCTGAGGGCCCTTGCTTAGAGAGTAATCACTCGCAGGGGCCGCTACCTGCTGCTGTGTCTCAGCATGTTAATGGGCTCGACTGGAGATCGTGGCCAGTTACCCACAGACGGATGTGTGATCGGTGCCTCGACCCAAGGGGGAAGATGGACGATGCTTTTTCTGTTCCGCATTCTGAATGCCCTGTTGGGTGAGTGTTGAGATCTGGCTAGCAGCCTGGCTTGGGAGAATTTATGGAGGAGCCAGGTAAGGTTTAGGTTAAATGGGCTTGTAGATGCCCCCCCCTGCACTCGCTGTAAGGATTTAGAGCATGCTGCAGGAGATCGGTATAATGCAACACTTGCCTTGCCCCATGCACCCTACAGTGGAAGAAAAGAAAAACATGGTCTCCACCATGAATCCCCAATGAGAGCAATGTGGGCTAAACCTTCAGTGTTGGGTGAAATACTAGTGTGTTCTGCTGGCATGTCACAGCTGATAAAGCAATGCTAGCTGTGTTCTGGGCTTTGTGTATTATAACCAATAACAGAGAAGTCAATCATTACCTCTGTCCCGCCATGACAACTACCAGGGGTGGAGCAGATGTCATTTATTTTTTTGCAATGTCCTCCCAGGAGCTAAAGTGATACTAGTGAGCTTCTACTGAGCTTGAACAAAGGATCTCAATCCGACTGTAGGTTAGTTAAACTGTGTATCAGGTCCATGAACCATGATGAACAAGTTGTATAAAACAGCATATATAACTTGGCATTAATTATTGCATCATGCTTCAGCCTGGGTTGCCTTCTGTGTGGAGTTTGCATGTTCTCTGCAGTGCCACATGGGTTCTCTGGTTTCCTCCCACCTTCCAAAGACTTGCTGCTTAGGTTTGGTCAGCTATATTAAATTGTTCCCCCAGGATTCGATTCCTGCTCCCAAGGTCTAAGCATGGGCCACATGTGGTGCATACTGTATAACAGATGGATAGATTGCATGTTAGTGTTTCATTCTCTGGTTACATGTTCACTTGGCACTCTTCGAAGTTTCTTTAATGAATTGTGTGGCCATCATAAGAAAGATTTATCTTCAGAAGTATACTGAGGATCAGGTAGTTTACTGTGAATAATAACTGACCTGATTGGATTTTCAGGTGTAGATAATTTCTTACTCTACCAGCTCAGACCGCTCAGTGAGCAGTGCAAGTGGGCACCCTGCTTTCAGACAGAAAAGACTGCCATTTTCCTTGCCACAGACTGCAAGAGCAGTGCTTACACACGTTTGGTTCTGGTGCTTTAAGAGAGTCTCCGAGGCGGGGGGACGGGGCGCGGGCTGGCTGACTTCACCGTCGTAAATTACATGCCGCGTGTCTATGAAAACGTATGAAAACGCTGCGACAACAGCGCGCGCAGGCCCCCGACGCGGGTTCTTTCATCTCCAACGGCGCATGAAGCAAGCTTCATCTTGCCTGAAAACACCTGGCTGCGCGCGCCCCCCGTCTCTCCTGGGCTGGCAGAGCTGCTCGAGGCCCCGGCGTTTCCGGAAAGACCCGCAAGGGGGAGGCTGCTCAGGCCTGTTAACCTGTTCTGTGCCAGCGGGGAGCTGCGCCGGCCTCCTCTTGGGAAGCGTAACGTTCCTGTGCTGAGCCGGGCGGATGGGGGGTGATGGCGGCTGCAGAGGGGCCCCCGGACGAGGCCGGTGGTGGTGGGGGGGGGGGCGAGGCGAGGCGTACTCACCCTGATGCCCACGTTGGTGTTGTGCGCGTCCACCCGGGCCCGCAGGTCCTTGCCGGCCCGCTTCTGCCCCAGGAACCTCTTGAGGAAGCGGGTGCTGTACTTGAGGTTGTCGCCGCAGATGCCCCACTGCCAGGCCTCGCGGTGCTGCAGCTCGGGGGAGTCGTCGCAGGTGCAGCGCTCCATGCGCCCCGAGCTGCAGGCCCTGGCCAGGGCGTGGGACAGGGCGGCGGAGGACACCGCCAGCAGGAAGGCCGTCTCCTTAAACCCTGGGGGGAGAAGACATGGGTACGCACTGGACGCACACGGTGCCGGCTGTCGGCGCGTCTCCTTGTTTCTGTCCACCTGACCTTGAGTGCGCGCGTTCCCTCCCTGTCTGATAATAATCCACAATCCATCACCCGGCTCACTCCTTCATCCGACTCAGGGCCCCGGGGGGACCACAGCCTGTCCCATCATGCAACAGGGCAGGATGTCGGTCCGTCCCAGGACGCTGACAGGCACAACCACGCTCACACCAGGGCCAGTTCCTCCCAGAAGCCTGCTAACCCCCCCCAGTATGTCATTGGACTGTGGGCAGAAACCAGAGTGCCTGGAGGAAACCCACACAAACACAAAGAGGACGTGCAGACTCCACACAGACAGCACCCCAGGTCCAGAATTGAACCCCGGGCCCCGGCGTTGCGTGGCAACAGTGCCTACCACCGTGCCACTGTGCCAGCGAATCCGCGGTCTTTGTGCTTCCTGTTCATGTGAGAGGTCATGGCAAAGAGAGCGAGCACGGTGAACTCTGCTCCTGAGCAGCACACGTCTGCCTGGTCTCTTCTTCACACGCAGCGCCTGAAGGGGCATCCTAGATATTTATCGGGGTGCCCCGTTGGTAATCTCCCCCCGCCTGGCTCTCCCTGGTGCTCGCCTTGCCTCCAGCCGTCACAAGGGAGTATTTTGATCCGATTAATTATTATTTTGACTAGGAAAGGATTTTTTCCCAGATGAAAGCGAGCAATCTTGCCTCCCATTTCCTCTGGGAACTGGGCTCTTTTCCGAGCTAAAAATACCCCGCTGGTGTAGGACAGCGACGCAGAAATCCTCTTGTGATCTCAGGTCTTTAACTGGGTGCGCTTTACCGTGATCGTCTGTGATCGGCAGGTCTTTGCCTTTTTTAATTTAATCAATATTAAATGTGAAATAAGCAGTACCTAGTTCCCATTGCACCTTACAGTCCAAACAGGCAGCCGAGAGAGAAACCTGAGAACTGGCAACGGTCTGACTCTACTCTTGGACTGGAGCTTCTTATAACCTGCTGAACATTTTCAAGAAGTTTAGAGCGTCATTTCTGAAAAGGGCAAAAACACAAACTAGGGGGCGAAATACGTTCTGAAGACCGAGTAGCATTATTTTACGTTGTGGTTCATCAATTCCGGCAAATTTTGCATGAAACCTCTGAAAACAACAGCTGTGAGCCATTTCTTATCTTGGCTCTTTTTAAATGCTGCTGTGCTGTCCGGGAACGATCTAAACCAACTCGAACTCTCGTCATGATTCTGGCCGGCGTGAACTGTGAATATTCCGGCGGCTGTTCAGTGAGATGAAACCGCTCCAGCCAATTTCTCCCGGCTCCTCAGTTGAGTTCGCGGAAGGGGGGGTCCCAAGTTTTGGAATAGTCTCCCCGTACCCGAAACTCGCTCTCACTCGATCGCTGCGAGGTACACTCGTCTGCAAGCTGACGGCGACGTGCGCGTCTCTCCGGATCGACCTCAGACTCGCGTCGCTCTGTTTAGCAGCCTCTGACCTACACAAGGCGCACCGTGACACATGCCGAATTGGAGACCCCGAGTTTATGGCAGAAACACAACAATAATAATAATAATAATAATAATTGCTTACACTTATATAGCGCTTTTTCTGGACACTCCACTCAAAGTGTTTTACAGGTAATGGGGATCCCCTCCACCACCACCAGTGTGCAGCATTACTTCACAATACTTCATCAAAGCAGTTTGGCCATTCTGGGAACCTCTCGTACCGCCTGCGTTTGACCGAATTCGGGCTCAACCTCTCACAGTTCTTTCCCCAAACGCGATCCCGGGGTTTTAACTGGGCTGTTTGCCTGGTGTGTGTGTGTGTGTGTTGGACTGGTCGGCGTTACCTCGCTGGAGGAGGCTGGCGCGCCCGTCCAGGCTGCAGTTCCAGCGCTCGTGGCGGAACTGGTAGCGGCATTCCAGCAGGCCGAGGCGCACGGACTCGCGCAGCGCGCCGGCCAGCCCGGGCTCGCGGCGGCACACGCGCTTCTGCCGCCGGCTCAGCGCCAGCTGCTCGCACTGCTTCAGGTGCGCCCGCTCCGAGGAGGAGGAGGAGGAGGGCTCCGCCGGCAGGGGCTCCCTGCCCGTCAGCCTGCCGGGGGGGAGAGAGGAGGCGTCGGTAACTGGGGGCTCCTGCAGCAAGGCTGTGGCGCTCGCCTGGATTTGAGTTTCTTAAAAGTTTGTTTTTTTTTTCAACAGTCGAAACCGCTGCTCACGTCACCCCGTGATATCGCACAATATCAATTAAATTCATTACAGAAGGTCGCGCAGCATTTATAGAATCAATACATTCGTCGGTTCTCAGCTTTGCTTATTGGTTTCATTTAAAAAACAGTGAAATACATTAGTTTGGGACGAAAGAAATATCTCGAAAGCCTCTGTGCTTTGGTACTTGCGGTACTTGTTTTCCGAACTTTTCTTTCGAAAAGTTGGGTTTAGTTCAGCCTCAAGATGCAACAGGACAGAAACGGAAAAGATTAGACCTGCTCCGTCTTTGCGTTGGAGTTTTTTTGTGCCTATTGCTTTTTTTCCCTTCTGAGGGGGTCTGTGCAATTCACACGGCTACGAAAGAGCAAATCCTGCGGCACCCTGATCTACATCGCCTTCCTGCGCGTTCTGCCCGAACCGGGACCGGACTATTGGCGGTGACCCAGAAGTCCCAGCGAATGTTTTAACACCAAGAACGAAATTTCTTCCTGCCGGTCCCCGACGCGAGCTTATTGTTTTCATCATAATCAGTATTTTCTTGCGACGTAGCAAGATACACGCGCCCCTGTGTGTTGTCTTCACTGCTTTAAAAGAAAAGCTTTTAGTTGGGGGAAACTCTCTAGGCGACGTTCAGATAAATCGTGATATCCGTCAAAATTCAAGATAAACATGTATATCATTCTCGCTAAAGGAATGAACTCATCATTTGCACATTTCGTACAGGATTATTATTATTAGTAGTAGTACTATTATCAATTATTATTAACTGTGTTTTAATTTTATTAATAACAATATTACCATTATTAATTATAAATATTGATAGCTTTACCCAGCGACTATGATTGTTTTGTTATATCTAATATTTGTGACTATTGCATTATAATGATATCAATACATTAGTACAGTAAATTAATTATATTTCTATTTTTCAAACATTTTGAAAAGTTCGGATCTGGTTGATTATTAATATCAGAAGGCTCCCGTGGCATGTTTGTTGGCAATACAACCAAGCCGCGCTTAGCTTTCACACGAAAGGTTAAAACTTTTTCTTTTCTTTTCGAAACGGGAAAATGTCGTGGGTTTCGATGGGAAAAAAACGTTAACGCTCTAAGTCAGGTGAACACCGGCCCGAAATAAAGGCGATGTATCTGTGAAGGAGGTAAAAGTTTTGCGGCTCATAACCGCGTAATTGGGCGATTGTCCGAGCAGTGCCGTACAGAGGCGCCCCGCGGGGTCACCCAGGGCGCGTCCTCGGCGCGCAGTCGGGGACGCGCCCCCCGAGCCCGTGCGTGCGGGCAGTGAGTCTGAGCGGTTTCCCGTCTCGGCTGGCGACCAACGATAAAAGTAAAATAGGAATTAGAACGTGATCTGATTTATTCCTAATTATTGCATTCGGCCCGGAAAACAACACTGTCAAATAAAACAAAAACAAAAGGAACTCGCAAGAAAAACCCGTATCTAAAGTAGCCAACGTGATTATTATTATTATTATTATTATTATTATTATTATTATTATTATTATTATTATGAGGAGATCATGGCCATCTGTTTCTGTCAATAATTTATATTAAACTAATTACATCTCTATAAACCAGATAAACAATAAGCATTATTTTCCATCCGTTATTTCTACTGATAAGTCAAGTCAGAACGGAGAAGAGTGCGTTAGTATCTGAACTCGACAATATAATAATAATAATAATAATGTCAGATCTGTAGCATTTAGGAAGAAATAAAATCACAGTGGCAAGATTGTTTTACAAACAAAACCCCCGTAGTACTTCTATAACAATAGAACAGACATAATAAGCAGTCCCATAAACTCCAAGCACACCAACTTTATCGTGCCCTTTGAATTAATTTGTTAAATCATTTCTCGGGAAAGCATTGTCGAGCACAGAAACCCAGCGCGGAACTGGTGTCGGCAGTAACATATTCCTGAGCGACAGCGGATTTTCTAAAACCCCTCCGATAACTGTCGGTTGTATTTTAATCAGCAGCTATTTTATATCCCACAGTTGCCATATTGAAGAAAGGGATAAAGATTCTCCTTTATCTCATTTAAAGGAGAAAAATGAAAAAGCCGGAATCCTTCTGCACGAGGTCAAATTATGACCTTAATTATTCTTTGGGGAAAAAAAATGAGCATGCTCGTATGTACATACAGGATTTCATGTCATGGTTTACGGTAGCGACTTCTAGTAACCTTGAAAGCAACTGTGATTTCGGAATCAATCTGGCAAGTTAAATCCGGGCAGAAGGAATCGCAGTTGTAATTGTTGGTAATTGTTTGGTTTATATACAAGACCTGCCCCAGAGACAGTCACAGGTAAAACATAAGAGCGCAGCAGAAAGAAAAATGACAAACGAGTGTTGAACAATTTCCAGAAACGAGCAACTTGCCTCTTCCCTAACTGGCCAGCGTCAGCAGAGTCGTGTTCTGCGACTGCATAAGCGTTTATTAAAACGAGTGAAGTCGTTCTAACAGTGCCTCTGCCTTGTAAACCGCTTATCACCAATGGCTATGAATTACTACAGAACGGAGAATAAATCGATTTGTTCGATACACAAGACAGCGAAATTACAGGCAGATAAACACTGCCGTCGTCATCTTCAACACTGTCATTGCTGCAAATAGGCCATGTCCTGTCACATACTGTATCACAGATTGGGTTAAGAGAATTAATTTCATAACACACGACGCGAAATCCACACTTTTCCCTCCATGTGCGCGTTTCCAAAGCGTGAAAAAAAAAGAGCGCAACTTCACTGAAACTCCGTCATTTGAGATATTAAACTTTTTCGCCTTTACCTTTCACCCCGTCAGTAAGCTGCCCTTTATAAGGACGCCTCTTGGTCTAATGCCCCGAGCAGAGAGTGAAAAAGCAGAGAGGAAAGGAAACCCAATTTAAAAATATATATATATATCCCCGGCTGACCCGAAATAAGCGGCTGAGCGCGAGAGGAGGATGTAGAGGGCAGCGAGTCGCAGCAGGCAGGCGGTCCTCGAGAGCCGGGGGCGCATGATGCCGGGTCGGCGACGCTCTTCATCGCGCTGTTTCTCCGCTCTGAAGTCCCCGCTGACCGGACAGCTCGCCTCTTAAAGGGGCCTGCACCCATTTCACCCCGGGTGGGGAGGGCACGGTCCCAGGAGGGGCGCGGCCTCCAGGGATGCAGCCGGGCGCTGATTGGCGGCGCCACCACGCTCGCCCCGCCCACACGCCGGGACGGGGCGGGGCCTGGCAGGTAAATCCTACCTGTGCAAAACCCGGCAGAACCATCTGATCGCGGGTTCCTGTGTGCATATTCAAATACATGCAAATCGAGCAGCACAAATAGGCGGTCCTTTGCACATACACCTGCTCTGACATGAACAGGTGATTTCAGTGGGATGCCTTATACCAATTCAAGATCCAGTATATTGGCTTATGAAGTTCAAAACCTTATGTTTTAGAAGAGTGTGAAAACACCCCCAAAAATCCTCCTGTTCCCACTCAAATTGACAAGGATCTGGGAAGAGAAACACAAAATTAGATACACTGGCTGTGCGGTGCAGTTGAGTTTTTTTTTTAACTGTCATATGACATTGTATTTTAGAAAGTTATCATTTTAAAGAGAGTTTGTGAAATTTTCCAGCTACCACAATAGAAAGATAGCTGAATCTTATTGTTATGTTGTTCTGTGAGTGTGTGTGTCTGTGTGTGTCCCACGACGGGCTTGCGTCTCGTCCCGGCTGTAGCTGCCTTGTGCCCATTGCTTGCTGGGATAGGCTCTGGCTCCTCCAGGACCCGTGGTCTGGAAGAAGCAGTTAGAAAATGATTTAATCGTAGTATTACAGATAACTGCTAACATGTAACATGCCAGCAGCCATATCACCCTGCAGCTCCCAGCTGGCAGCCCACTGAAGCTCAGCAGGTGTGAGCCTGGCCAGTACCTGGATGGGAGACCTCCTGGGAAACACCAAGGTTGCTGCTGGAAGAGGTGTTAGTGGGGCCAGCAGGGGGCGCTCACCCTGTGGTCTGTGTGGGTCCTAATGGTCCAGTATAGTGATGGGGACACTATAATGTAAAAAGTCGCTGTACTTCGGATGAGACATAAAACCGAGGTGAACCTGACCAAATTTCCCATTGGCCCTTACCAATCATGGCCTCCTAATAATCCCCCTCTCTGAACTGGCTTCATCACTCTGCTCTCCTCCCCACTGAGAGCTGGTGTGTGGGGAGCGATCTGGCGCACTATGGCTGCCGTCGCATCATCCAGGTGGTGGTGGAGGGGATCCCCATTACGTGTAAAGCGCTTTGAGTGGAGTGTCCAGAAAAGTGCTATATAATAAGTGTAAGCAATTATTATTATTATTATGTAGTCATGTTAATCAATAATGATCAACTGATTATGATGCAGCTAGCTGGGCTGGCCCTCAAGCCTTTTTATTTAGAAATGTATTGATTTTTTATTCTGCTGTGCTGACTGGTTTGACATGCTGCCCCATTGCCGTCAGCGTTGATGGCAATGAATGTGCTAACGATAATAAAGAAGCAGAGCAGAGGGTCCCAGCCCTGGTCTCCTGGGGGTGATGACGACATCAGGGTCTGTATCCTCAAGCAGTTTACAGCTGAACACTGTTGAGTTTGCAGCAGTGTTGGATCCAATCACAGTTCAACTGGACCCTTGAACCCCTCCCTGCTGCTTTAAGCTGCTAATGGTTTAAAGAGACAAAAGCACACACTCCTGTATGGTCATGCAGTGGGCAGATCCTGCAGGTGGATGAGCTTTCCCACTCATTCAGGAATGGTGTTTTTTTGGGGGGAAGCTGTGAGCTGATGAACGACATGGGAATGAGGCGCAGTGAGACCAGGACGTTACGTCCACATTGCGCCCTGTGCCAGCGGCACCCTGTGCCCCAGCTGTGGCAGAGTATTTATAGCCAGTGGGGAAATGGGTTTCAATTCACGTGTGAGAGAATTTATTTAAACGGCATGAACGACACAACTGCCCCACCCCCTCCATTTTCCTGTTCGTAATGAGCTCAAGTCGCTCGTCTCTCCTCACGCGCACTGCCGCAGTTTTGTCTCTGCGTGGTCTGGTGGCGCTGAGGCTCCCATGTCGTCAGAGGCTACGCCTCCAGTTTATCCTGCTCAGGATTAGGATCTCTGATTAAGCGAGACAGCGGCTCCGAACAGTAAGACCCTCCTCCCAGACAAACAGTTCCTGAACTATGAGTTGGACTTGACCGAAGCAAAGGAGCTCAGCAGCTGCAGAGAATCTGCCTGGGTTCCTCCCATTGCTGAGGCCTGCAGTGCCTTCTGGTTAGCACTCAACGACTAAATCCAGCTTTTTATAGTCGACAGCTTGAAAGATAGCTGTTGACAGAACATTCTGGCTCCAGCCTGCAGCAAGTCAATTGGACCACTCAGTGAGATTACTGCTTACTCAGACCCATTACGTAGCTGAGATCTTGGCTGGATTAAGGCCAGGAGGCACTAGGGCACTTCAGGAGTAGAGTTTGCTGCCCCTGCATTAAAGGGAAAAAAAGGGGAAAACCTTGATCCCGAGCCCCTGTTGCTGGAGTAGACAGGCCACCTCCACGCCTCAGATCTCCGTGGACTGGATTAGACTGAGCCTGGATTCAGAAGTGGGAACTGCAGGGGCTTTGCTACACAAAAGGTTGTGGGAGTCTGCGACAAGCCAGCCAGCCACCTTGTCACAGCTGGAACCCTGGCTGCTCTCAACATGTGTCTGCAAGAGATCTGGCTACTAGCAACACAGCAAGCTTGAGGGGTCCGATGGACTTCTGACTATAACCTTCTCCTTCGTCCCTATCAACTGAGCGAGAGGGACTTCTCCATTCCTTATGGAATTAGAGCAGTTTTTTCCAACACTGTCTGCAATCCGCCCTCTTTTAATGTCCCTGCTGGTCAAGACAGAGGAAGACAATTTGTCCAGGAGACTTTGAGAAGAGGAGCTGGTCACTGCCGGACGATCTGATTGATGGATTATGATGGATTCCTGATTGATTGGTCCATCTGTATTCCCACTGATCAGGGTAGGGGGGGGATGACAAATGAGACGACAAGAGCCCAGGCGTAGAAACCATTTAACAATCATTTTGGGATGTTAAATAGGTTCTATTAGAGGAGATGAAAAATAGAACAACTTCTGCAATAGAACAAAACACATGGAAAGTAATCCTGTTTGTATCTTAAATTGATTCATAATTAAATGGGGAAAGTAATCCTGTTTGTATCTTAAATTGATTCATAATTAAATGGGATATTTTTTTTTTTTTGTTGAGCAGGTAGAAATTGGAATGGCTATATGCCTGGAACTGGCCACCCCTGAGATCCGGTAAATGTGAACACTTATTTACTACATGAATGAGCGGTTTCCACTTCATGAGCAATCAATCCCTGAAAAGACAGAATTACAAATTGCAAGAGACGTGTTCCCCAATTCCAGCCAAGAGAAACAGAAACAGTAAAGGTTTTTAATCCAGCACCTAATCATTTATTTTCAGACCTACATTTTCACACCTCCCACGCCAACGCACTCGCGACCACTCGGTGCTTTTTCCGGCAGCGATTCATCAACACAGCCTGCGGAGGGTCAGGGCTCCACCTAGTGGACACAACTAGACCACCAGTCAAACAAAGAGGGCTCTCAGACCTCCTGGTCAATTCCGCATTCCCAGGACTACAGTACATTAATCAGCTGAGCGGTGTAAATACTTTAATTACCGATCGCCTTTGGCAGCAGTGATTCTGGAAAGGCTAATAATTACTTCATACAATTAGTTCTCTCTTGTAATCTGATTTTACCCCAGGGGGAAACAGGATGTGGATGGTAAAATCTGTTTGCGGTGTTCTGACGCCTTACTTGACGAAGGCCTGAGTGTCATATTGACACTGTGTCACCTGTCAAGGACAAGAGCCACTTAAAGACCCTCCACTCTGTACTCTGTTTCCCCACCATGGGCGTCCTGAGCTCTTTCCTGGTTTGTGGGGAATGGTGTGCTGAGTACTCCCATGGGTTCTGCTCACAAGAGGTGGCCTAACTCTCAACAAAAAAACAACCAAAGTTAGGCTGTAGAGTTAAAAGTGCAGGATTTAAATCATGGGATGTTATACTAAAACTGCGCCATACACAAGTAAGACCTCATTCAGAATATTTTGGTTATCATGTTACAAATAGGGCAGCATGGTGGCACAGTGGTTGTTGCCAGTGCTGCCTCACAGCGCTGAGGCCCTGGGTTAAATTCCTGGCCTGGGGATTTTTTAAATATTTATCATTGAGAATATTACATTTGTTACTTCCAGTCTTGCTAACAGACAAAGCCACTGCTTTCTGGTAGCTTTTTCAACACCGCGTGTCTGACTTTTATCGTTATAAACAAAGTCCTTTTGCACATATATGGTCTTTGGTGCATTTTGTACTCCTAATAGATGACAATGTGGCTGTAGTTACATGCTGAGGGAAAGGAGGAGTTAGAGATGTTGGTTTTGTCTCATGATCACAGTGTGTTGAACAGGGAGAGTGCTCAGCTCTCGAGTTGCACCTCCTAAAAAGCTCATTTACATCTGTAGTCGTTGAGCAGGATATAACTAAAGAAAATACAAGACATAAACATACAGTATGGTATGATATTATAAACATAATATTTGTGAAAGGGAACATGTGTTTTTGTGTCAGTCTCTGAAAAACAAATTGTTGTATAGGACAGTAGATATAGGAGAGGTTTATTTAAAAATATTAAATCCCTTCCCTGTTTTTTGCCTTCCTTGTGTTGGTGTGTATATAGTGACATCAAGTCTTACGATAAAATCACTAATAGTTTTTTAATACAAATATATGAGGAATTCCCAAAAAGGGAACTGTAATTGTAAAACAAAAAGGAAATCAAGCTAACTAGCTATGGTTTTATAGCTATCACTCTCGGGTTTCACACTGTTAAGAGCCGTTTGTAACTCATAGAAACGTGAGGACAAAAATAAAACAATAAAAAAATAAAAAAATCGAAAATACATCCCTTATTAAACTCCCTAAAAAAAACGCCCAACCCGTGATTACGAAACACGCC